CGTGAGTTTATAATTCCTCAGTAAATTAATTAATTAAATGAGAAAACTTATCATTTTTGAGAATTTTCTTACGTAAAAAATGTGTAGGTAATGAGAGATAAGATAAAGAGATTCATGAAAATTTGGATGGATATTAATGATTTGATAAAAAGAGGTCTATACCGTGGTCTATCTTGGAATTCGTACTTCGAATTCATGATCTGTGAATCAAGATAGCAGGCAGCGGGACATCCTGGAAATGGAATTGTATCGTGGTTGATCCATGACCGGGTTTTACTCTCGGTGATAGTAAAAGTATTTTTTTTTTTAAATAGAGAAACGAGACCCTGAGGCTTACCGCTTTCTCCTACTTATTAAGCTAGCGTGTAAAAGATATTTAGGTCTATCCTTAAAATAATTACCGTCACTAAATCTATACGTCCGTTCGAAAAAAGAAAGTATTTTTTTTATTGTGTTTTTAATATAAACTAATAATCGTGTTTTATCGATATTTGTACGTCTGCTAAGTACCTCTGTATAGATAAGTTCCTCATGATAGTCGTTGTCTGTTCAAGAAAAAAACATGCTAATAAGAAATATTTAAGGGAAAAAATTATTTCTTACTTATTGATTATTTCAACGTTTTGGAAAATTACAATATATATATATATATATATATATATATATATATATATATATATATATATATATATATCCTATATCTAATCCTCAATTTCAGGTCAAAGCTGATGTGCCATTTTATAAGTATTGACGGGTATAGGAAAATATGTTTAAACATTACTAAGTGAAATTAGAAAATGATATTTAATAAAAATTGTTAATTTTGAAATAGAATGGAGAAAAGTATGTTTTTAACTGCTGCATAATCTCTCTAATTCGCTATGGTACCCAGACATGGTTATTTGCAAAAATTATAGAAAAGAGGTTTACGACGTTGTAATGCTTAATAAACAGGAATATACCTGGAATGAATAAATCCATTAAAAAAAAATCTGATAAAGAATATGAAAAACTAAATACAGTTTTACACTAAATACATTAGAGAAGATTCCACTATATATTTTATATTATTCCACTATATATTATTCTATCCACTATATTATTCCTCTATATATTATTCCACTCTCCTCTAGAGTGCCTACTCCACATTAGAGAATATTCCACTATATATTTAAAGGATGTTTTATAATAACAAAATAATTGACAGGTATTAAAAAAAATTGATGAATTATATGATAAAAAGTTTGACAAATCCTTTATAATTCAAGCCGTCTCGTTCTGGAATACCATCCCTTCCGATATCCGACATGTACAATCAGTTTCTTCATTTAAATCTCTCCTTTTTAAGCCCCTACTCCTTTCCAAGCTCGATGAAATGTTGATAAGATAACTTTTTAAAGTTCCCCCAGAAATTATTTTGTTTACTTATGTTATTTTATTTTCCTATGTTTGTATTATTCATATCTATATATTTTTAGTGTTATTGTTTTATTTTTTGTTTTATTCTTTTGTGACATTGTAATTTTAATGATATTAAAATTGTAAATATTTGATTTAATGTATGGCCACACAGGCATTTTTTCTGTATCTATAACTTGTCCTAAAGGGACAACAGTCCCAGAATAATAAAAATATATTTTCATTTAATTAATAAAAGAAAACTTTGGGAGAAGAACCGTATTTAGTTTTTCATGAACATGAAATTTTGTAATTGAACTTCTGTCACGAAAAAATGATGGCAGATGGTCTCTCAAAGTTATACAATGTCCAAAACAAGGGTTAATGCAAAAAAAGAATTGAAAGACCACTTAAAAGTATGAAATTAAAATAGAAGAAAAATGGACGAGAGAAACCTAAAATAGAACTGAATGTAAAAATAAATTAAGCTGCGCGATCTTGTTGCTCCCTACTCCCTTGCTGTTGGAAGGCATGTGCCCAATAGAGAATAAATAAATAATAATAATAATAAAAGGCTTTGCGAAGCAGAAGGTTCGATGCCGACACCACAATCGCTTATTAAACACCTCTTTCCACTGTTCGCCGTCTACCCCTCGGACGTTTACCATTCGGTACAGCAAATATTAATCTTTTAGGAATTCTTTCGTTAGTATAGCCAACAATTTTACAATTGTATTAATTGGATACCGTTCACGCAATTCGGTGTTGTGTAACCGTCTTAATTCTCCGGTTAACTCATGCTTCTTCGGTCCGAATATTCTACGCAATGCTTTATTTTCAAAAACTTTAAGAAGTTGCTCATCCCTTAATGTAAATGGTCACGTTTCGCATCCATAAAGAACTGTAGATAAGATAATGGTTTTATAGATTCCAGTTTTCAAGTTCCGGGACAAGAGGCGCGAGCTAAGTAGTTTTGTCACAGAAAAATAACAAGCATTTCCCGCCTTCAGCCTAACCTTAATCTCCTCATCTATTTCTTTTTTTCTAGTTATCGTAGTTCCTAGATACCTAAACTTCTCTACGTGTTCAAACATATCACGCAACTTATATATTGTCTTAAAAATTAATAAATACGTATTTTTAATTTTAAATGTATAATACTACCGTATTATTGACAAAATCAGGAATACCAGCTATGCTAGCAAAGAAATGCGAAAAAATATATGGATCGAATTGAAGACTGGATTAATAAATTTATATGCTGAAGATGAGGCAATGTCTTGAAATGTTTACAAATGAGTTGACACATGTTTAACAATAAACTTGTAATGAGAAAGGACTTCGTTCAAAATTATGTAGAATTATATTAACTTGTATTTGTGTTTAAGGTGTGTAGACATGTCAAATAGAACCTTCCGTTTTTGTAATTACAAATAGTTTATCAAGGAAACTTTAAGAGAAAATAAATTATTAAAGTAATTGCTAAAACTCCCGCAAATAAGACTAAACAAACAGAAACATAGTTTATTAGGAAGTAATGTGTCATGAGGACGGGGTAATTTTACATTGAATGAGATTGATGAAACGCCATTACCTCGCCCATCGACCCTAATAGCCAGTAGTTATAATAATCTTACCCAACCCTCTACGTTGTAATTTGGAAACCGCAGGGTCTCATTATCACCTAAGCTGTGGATGAGTAGTCCCGCCTGTGGTTATGGTTATGGGTAATACTGGTCACTTGATGCATTTATTATATGGTATAATATTCATCTATGTATATAATTTCTTATAAATATATAGGATGAAAATTACAATATATATGAGAAGGTCTATATATATATATATATATATATAAATTTAAACTTCACTATTTAATTGGGAATAATATATATATTATATAGAAATAGAAATAAAAAAATCATCTTTATTCTGGGACTAGGTCCCTTTAGATTAACAGTATTGTTCATATATATTAACTACAAATCTGGTCAAAAGACTTATTACAATGAATAATGACAAAATACCTGTAATACATTAAGTATTAATTAAGCTCTTAGGATAAATTAACGAGGACAGTTGGGTAATAGGGGTTCAGTACTACGATATTGGAGCTAAATAATTGCATAATAATCACTGAATGAAATTAGAAAGGAAAGTAAAATCTATTTTATAGGTAAAGCATTGTAGTGATGGAATATAAAAATTTAAAAAAATAATAATAACTGTTAATATGTAGGGAAAGAAATTGTAAAAACTAAAATAAAAAAAATATATAAAAAAACAAATAATGATATACATATGTTCCCTAAGATATTTAAGTGATTATGCGTAAAGATTTGGAGAAGAGAAAATAAAATAAAGTATATATATACACATAGCGAGAAGTATGTTGAAGATAATTAAAAATAAAATACATTTCACTGAAATACCTTCCATGAATAACAAATTAGAACTTAAGGAAAACAAATTTTATCTACTCACAATGCTTAGTGAGTGGTGATGAAAATTCACGTTCAACACAGAATAAAACAATAAAAAATAAGAGAAAAAAAATAATGTCTAAAGAAAATTAAATCCTTATAACATAGTATGTATTTAACCAGCGTCTGATTGGATTGTGAAGAGGAATTGGAATAAGAGGGTTTTAAAGGTGGATAAGGATGATGCATGGCGGATTTTTAGTGGGATGGAATTCCAGAATGCAGTGGAACGGAAGGAATGTTTAAATGATGCAGATCTGTGGAAAGGAGTGTAAAGGTCAGAAGGACGAGATCTTGTGGAGAGGGTGTGGATAGATGATTTGAATTGTAGGAAAAAAAAATATATATTAATAAAAAAATATATATATATATATATTATTTTTTTTTTATTTTTATATTATTGAAAAGTACAGTATAGTAATATAGTACCTTGCTTACTAAGCAGTAATTAATGGTACAGTGAGTTGAAGTTTTGCCTAGGGCATTTTACCGTTAGATGGTAATGGATGTAACTATCTAGTTGTGTTACTGTTGTAACTGCTTGCTGTAAGTGTTTTTCCCACTCAGGCTGTGTAACTGCTCCTTACTGTAGGGTATAGCAATACAAGCTCCAGAGACCACTATTTTTTCGTTGGTTTGGTATGGTACCAACATTAAGGGTTTTTTCGTATCAATAAAGTAGAGTATCTTTTATTTTATGTTTTAATCCTATACTATCACCGATAAGCTAATATGGTTAGGTTAGGTATTTCAGACATGTAGGAGCATTATACACAATATGTCCTTAAACAACTCCTAAGATTCCGTGATTCCTCTAAAAACCAGACAGCTCCTTGTAACCTCCCTTATATTCCCCCACTTCGACTGCGGCTGCTTGGTGGATGGAGGGCTATCTGCCAGGCTAGAAATAAGATTTAAGCTCATGGATGACCCACATGTTTGGGTTGAAACGTCGGCAATAATAAAAACTTTATAATTATCGCATCCTGAATATTTATCACTCGTGATATGTAGAACAGTCGACTAATTTTCTGCAATCTAAGACAAATAAAATTCAAATTCGCATGAGATCCTTGACTCCTCATACTAAGATTGCCGTTCATTGACAACTTGTGAACGATGCTGTCGAACGACTTCTTTTCACTTTCGAAAGAACATCGAATGACCTACGAGACTCTTATGGGACCGCAGCGTGTTACCGCAACTGATCAAACGTTTTTACGCCCGGTAGTTATAGAATTCCGTTCCTCTCCAGAGCGCATTATGGACACTGAGTTGCATGTATAACACTTCATTTGTCACTACTTGCCAGGGGAAATAATCCATTGCTACGCCCCATTAGATAAATAATAAGTAATCTGATTGTTGAAGAAATTTCTGAATTATTAAGAAATATTTTTTTATGAAAATCACTCGTTTCGTTTTTATGAATAGTTGATCCTTGCGAATAATTCCCAAAAAAATTTGTAAAGAAATATCAAAACAATATGGAAATAAGTAGATCTGATGTATTATGTAAGGGAGGAATTAATATTTTTTTTCTTGGGCGATTACGATATTTAACAAAATAGACCAAAATATTTGTACAAATTCGTTTGATAGGACATATTTTTAAACGCTGACTGTAAAGATAATAAAGACAAAATAAAATCTCGATCATGGGATTTTTTAAGTTATTAAAAAAAAAATGTAATAACACAAATGTCTTTAAGAATTAATAGAGCATATATCAGCAAGGAAAAAAAAATGTAGTAGAAAAGTAAATGCAGTATCTTTAAAGGGAAAGAAATTATTTAGTATACCAAAATTAACGGACTGTATCTTTGTTAATGAGTGTCCGATTTTTACGATTTTTTTTTTTTTTTAGATTATTTAGTAACCTTTCTAATTATCATGGGTACAATCAAGAAAAAAATGCATGAAAAATGAAGGGATGCCTTAGGTGAAATTTATAGATTTTTTTTTTCTTTTTCGATCGCAATGAAAATTCGTAATTAAGGGTATTCCGAGCTGCAAAATACAAATCTTAAATCTGTTTCTCCTTAAAAAAATATTTCAACACACTTTACTCCTTTAATTGGTACAAATTGTTTAAATTTTACAAATTTCGATTTTTACGTTGTTTTGTCTGTAATTTAGCAATCTTTCGAATTATCATGGGTACAATCCAGAAAAAAATTCATACTTTTTGAGTTATTCGCAAATAAAGTTTCTTTTCCTTCATAACATTTTTCTCTGAAATTTCGGGGCATTCTGTTTTTCGCATGTGAAGGAGGAGAATATTTTCGAAGTGAGGTCAATCGGTGCAAGTCGGTAAGTACAAATATGTTTGAGGATTGTCTTGTGAATTCATAGTTTTTATCAATTGAACGATGGGGTATTCTATTTAGCATTTTATGTGATTGGCTATGTGGAGGATTGCGATCTTGTCTTTTAAAGCTACTTTACACGGTCAAGTCTCTATGCCAAAAAATTGTTCTAGAAATTGTAGTTAAGTAGTTTGGTTTTCAATCACCGGTGAGATCATCACAGTCTGTATAGATCCTTTTATAAGTTTTTCATAATTTGTCGATATTGTATTTAACATATTTTCCCACTAAATGTCCATGAATAATGAGAGATATTGAAAGCAGGTAATATAAAGAGTTACAGAATAGTTTACATAAACAATTTAAGAAGGTCGAGGAGGGAGGGAGAGGGGAGAGAAGTGCGGTAAAATAAATAATAAATTTTTAAAAAATAGTATTTTTAATTGTTTCGCCGACGTTTCGACCCACCTTGCAGTTCCTCATCAGGGCTACAAAAGGTACAAAATATAAAAGGAACATGGTGAAAATAAAATAAATGAATTATAAGAAGATAATAAATAAGATTTTATATTTAAATTAATTATAATTAAATTATAACTTCTTGACGTTTTCACTTCTATCGTGTGGTCTAAACCTTTGTTTTTTTTGTGTGTTTTTTTTTGGTGAGGGAGAGAGAGAGCTTCAGACAAAAACCATTTTTTATGTATATAACGATAATTGCTTTGAAAGATAACTAAAGAAACTAACTACTTATGTGAACTGAACTTTAAGCTATTCTTGAAGTCCTATTAAATTTAATTACACGAACAATTTTAGAGATAATGTTTTTATAAGACACAATTTTAATTCACCATTTTCCTCATACCACACTTAAACGATAAGAAACCGCTCGTTGTTTTCGTCTTATTTCTTATAGCTCTCCGACGCGTCTGAAAAGAAGATGGCTTCGAGATCTTCTATTGTAAATACATTTTTTTTCTTAGAGTGCTACTAGTTGTAAATTTCAATTATAAAAAAAATTATAATTATAAAGAGATATGTTGGTTATTTTAGACCTGGCAATCATCAAAAGCAAACATCAAAAGGCTCCATATATTTATATATATATATTATTATTTATCGCAATAGAGGCTAACGATCGACCACGCATGTGTCTTTTCTAGGTCTCTTCTTTTCTGCCCGTATTATTTTCATAATAATAATTCATGGGTAGTTTCTCAACAAGTGTTTTCATGTTTTTATTTTCAGTTATCACATTTACTGAATGTATTTTTTTCCTATTACAGTTGTAAATATCATAAATAAATTTAATAAAATAAAAAAAAAAATCAGCATTTTAGGGGCTTCAGTCCGAAAGCCACCCCCGTACATACGCTTGTGGGTTCGAGTACCACAGTTAAGGGACCCTTGGGGTTAACAAATATATTCCAGTCACTGCGTTTTGACGCACCAAGACGCAAGGATTTATTATTTCGGATCGGTGTTTACTCTTAGATACTAGACTACAGATCGTTATTTTCGCTTTTATTGCGACTGACCGTTAGAGATAGAATTAGAAGAAGAGACTCGCTAGCGTGTAGCTCACCTGTATCCAGGCTGCACGCTTTGGCGCGTTCTAATCCCGACAACACGACCCAACAGGAACGCGGCCTCTTACCTTTCCCCTACAATCACACCGGCCTCTTCCCTTCCTTAATACCACCCTTCCTTCCATTCCCTGTTATTATCAGCCTCTCCGGGACGTCGGTGTCAATCTCCATCCCCTACTTTTAAATAGTCTTCAACAATTTATAAATAAACCCTCAGGAGTCCGAGGCTTCGGCCAATTAGGAGGATCCCCTCAACTTGTTTTGTTGTACTATGAACTGCCGAAACGTTTTCCGCCAGTTGGCCCCCCAGGGCTGACCAGTCATGCTCCCGGCTGTGAAGGAATGGCGGAAGGGGGCAGTGTACGCTTCAAGTGCACTGATCTCGCGTAATGTGGTCAGTACCTTGCTCTATGTTCGACCGGCGGTTCTGGAATTTCAATACGATTCTCCCCCCTCCCAGTTATATATCCAGTTATTCCAGTATAAATAAACATGTAATACCCTCTCAACTAAATAACCTCATACAGTTTAACGCTGAAGAAAAATAAAATAAAAAATAGTTATAAATTTTGTACACTCATGTACTTCGTTAGTTTCATAGGATTGATAGATAGATAGAAAATAACTTTATTCTGGGACAAAGTCCCTTGAGAATAACAAAATAGAACAAAATTAAAAGATCACATCTTTCCAAAATAAAATCAATGGAAAAAAGAAATAATGTAAAGAAAATATGAGGTAAACAGTATATATACAAAACGAACGAAACTATATAGAAAACAATTAACGCTATGACAAGATACTTAAAGCTATTTGCACTGATAGACCAGTATACACTCTTAAGAAAACAATAAAGAATTAAAAAATAAAAATATATTAAATTCTTTATTAAAATAAGCTTTGTGTTTCTGTTAAGAAAACAGAAAGCTGAATCTGACAATATTTAGTGCATGATTAATATATAAACACATTATCATTCAGCATTGATATTTGACAATGAATGGCATGAAATAAATGTATGTTGTCGAATGGTTAGCAAATATCTGATTGTTTCGGGATAGGAGGGTTTTGAATGTGGATATGGATGGGGAATGTCGAATTTTGATAGAGCGAGCAATACAGGAGTTTTATAATGAAGCAGATCTGTGAGAAGGCATGTAAAGGTTAGAAGATCGGGTTCTTGTGGACAGGGAATGGACTGAGGATTTGAACTGGAGAAGGTTGTTAGCGTTAGAAGGAGGATGATTGTTGCTGATTTGGTAGAGGAACGTACCCAGGAAATATTGTCTTCGGAAGGAGGGAAAAGGCCATCTTAACTCAGCTTAAGATTATGTCTTAAGTCGTATTAAGAATTCAGCTCTTCAGAGGAACGATTGCCTCTCCTCCCTCATAAAAATAGAGAAGGGACGAGAATATCGCTTTCTCCTCCAATATTTTGAAGAACGAAAAAAAAAACTAAGCTTAATGCTTTTGGCCACACGATATAAGTGAAAACATTAACAAGGTCAGACTAATAATATGAAATATAAATTATAAATAATATGAATGAAATTCTGAATTATAACTTATTACAGAGAGGATGAAATGTTAAACAATTTCTTCGTCTACAGTATGCAGGCCAGATTTTTAGTGTCTGAGATATTTTAATCCATATGTAAAAACATTTCAATTAGTCAACTCTAGCCGATTTTACCCGAGCGTTAACATTTCAGACATCTGACGGATCAATCTAATTCACTATCCACAAAAAAGTCCAAAACGAGCCTAAAGAAGTTTTGTACCACATCAAAAACATTTGTACCAATACAACCCATGAAGGGTCTTGAGTTCTAGTCCGTGATATATACTCCTTTTTATCGAATTATTAACAGCCTGAAACTTCGTAAATAGTTTCATCTTGTCGTAACTTACAACTATTTTATTTACGAAAACTCTTGGAATAGGGGCGTTTTCAAAATGGAAGGGGGCAAACTTTAACTATTTAATTAGCTATTAAATACTCATTTTCTTTCTTCTTGGATCGTAAGATAATTTGATCACAATATCAATACAAAATGTGCCCTTTAAAAATATTGAGCCGTTTGGCGTGACGTACACCTCTATTTTTTTTAAATAACGAGGTTATATAGGACAAAAGTTCCAATATTTTTTTAGGCCACTTCTTTCCTCGATCAAATTAGCTTACGATCAAAGTAAGAAAGCAAATGGATATTTACGAGTTTTTAATACCTAATTAAATAGACAAAGTTTGCCCCCTCTACATTGAAAACGCCCCAATTCCAAGAGTTTTCGTAAATAAAATAGTTTTAGGTTACGATGAGATGAAACTATTTAAGAAGTTTCAGGCGGATGTTAATAATTATATAAAAAGGGGCATGTACTACGAACTAATAACCTTCCTTTTATGATTCCATATCATTCTTTTTTTTTGCACCATGTTTATGACGGTAGCCATGTTTCGGGTATGAATTTATATGACTTCATTTTATCTAGTTAATTATTCATGGTATTAGATAGGCTTATGTTTTTTTTTTTTTTAAATATATATCCTAAATATCATAGTAATAAGAATATTGTCCTATATTTTTGAGTTTTGGTCTTTTATATTTCTTAAAAATTTTTAGGTCCCAATTAAAATTGATGATATTTACTCTCCGTAGATGAGATATTAATAGTGTGTTGTTAGCCGACTTTTTTAGTTGCCACTCCAGGATCAGGACCGACGGTACGTTTTTATTTAACTACCTACTCAGTTATGCTCACGACCCCGAATGCGATATCCTCAGAGGTCACGGGAGTCGGACCTGGGCCTCGATATAATAACATTAAGGTAGGACTCGTATCGGAACCGGAATGGACAGCTCACGTTGTGCACCGATCCCGTAGCTTTCCGCTAGGGAGCGATGGAGGTAAACGATAGTGAGATTGCCTCGCCGCTGAGGGCCGTTATAAGTAAATTATGCCGAAATAATGGAGGCCGAAGAAGTTGAAGGACCACCGCGTGATCTTGTTCCATATCGTTCCATGGACTGGTCAGCCATGAGGAGGATTGGAGCACCCTTTCACGATATGATTCCTCTTCGGCTGAGAATCTATCCTTTTCAGGATACCGAAAAGATTGGTGGCTATTTGTTCCTCAACTACCCTGATTGGATGGCTGTTATCTACTTTCAGTCATCTTCACAGGTGTGAAACGGTTAGTTCTGATTAGAGAATAACGCCAAGTGTTTCTAAGAAAAATATCAGCACAGGAGAATTCCATTTCATACGGAATAATATGGCGTGGGAAATACAGGTAACGTGGAGTTTCATGGAATTATCTTAATTTAAAAAAAAAAAAAAAAACTAAGGCGTGTGCTTTGGAAAACACGATAGAAGTGAAAACATCAAGGTGGAATTAATAATATGAAATATTTATATACATATATATATATATATATATTTGTTCTATATTCACAAAGTAATAACATTTACAATATATACAATTATAATTGTGTATAAATATTTATACATTTGCATACAATGATACGTCAATTAGTATAAGCCAATTATACAGTACTGGTACTTTTTAAAATAAAACCTCTGTATTTTATGGTTTCTTATTTTTATGGTTAATTAAAATACAATTTTTATATTGACTGCAATTTCAATCAATTTCATCCGCTAATAGGTTACTGAATTATTTATAGTATTTAAATTTTGAGATATTTTAGTGCAAATGTTCAAAACTTTCGTTATTATTATTATTTTTTAATACTAATTTTTTACCTGTCCAACACTCTTAACTCGGCCTCACATCAAAATACAATTTATGAATTATAGCTTTTTACAAAGAAGATGCCCTGCTAACCATTTTCCTCGCTTAACATATGCAGGTCCGAATTTTAGTTTATAAGATATTTTATTTCAAATGCAAAAAAACAGCCGACTGGAACCGACTTTACCCGAATGAGCGTTACATAGCCGAGTATAACGGCCAGTCTCATTCAATAACCACAAAATAAAGTGCTAACCGCGTCTGAAAAAATTATTACTTCAAAAAGTCATGGTCTTAAGTTTTTAGTCCAAATAAATAATAGTATTTAAAATATATATAAAGTACATTAATTATCATTTTTTTTTCCATAATCCTAATTTTATATATGGTTTTCTTTCTTATATATGCTGTGAGATTATCTTTGTGCTGTATCATACATGCTATATCATCATACATTTTAAGTTCTTGCTGAACCTTCCTAAGTTATGTTAATCTTTATTTCTGGACTTTAAATAGGAGTGGTGGGGCTTACCTCTATCTTGATAACTACCATTATGTAAAATGCAAGGCTATTAACATAGAATAATAATTTTTTTTTAGTTGGGAGTGAAATGAACCGCAAAAAGGGATTTATTGACACCTTGATCAAGAATAGTTTAAATATCATTTTATTTTATTTAATTTTTTTAGTATATCTTGAAATCAATATAAAAACCCTGTAAATTATTTCACAATGGTCTATTATTTCTCAACAATTATAAATCTAAAGTAACATTAGCTTTCTAGTGACAAATTAACAGAAATAAAAAGTTGATTCCAATTATTTGCCCAAACATTTTTTTTTCATTATTAGTAATTTGCTAAAAAAAAAAAATAACATTACTTCAGTAACACATTCAAAAATAAAAAGTCCAAAACAAAGGACTTGCAGTAGAACATAAAAACATCTAGAGACCACATTTTTGCTCCTAATTACCCGATTTGAACGATTTTCAAAAATGAAATTTCTTTTAAAAATACTTTAAAAAAATTATATACAAAAAGTGTATATTTTTTTAGTTATTGAGAATCTAATTTTACCATCTCTCGTAACTTTTTTCCAGCTTCTTTTCGTTGAAGTATGTTATATAGATAAATTTAAAGGGCATCGAGAAGAAGACTTTAGCCAAGTTTCATTGAAATCGGTACATTCGTTTAGGCGCTACAGTCAATATCAACGCAGATTTTTCGGCCATCATTTTGAAAGTAAAAGGCGATTAGTGATGTCGATGAAGGAGGATCATCCTCGGGTGACCTCTGATTATAAATCCAAATTTGAACAAAATCGGTCCAGTAGTTTCGGAGAAACAAAAAAATGTTCTTCGTTTTTCGAGTTGTACGTAACCTGAAACGTAAAACCTCATATTTAGAGAGGGGGTTAAGTTTTC